CTTGACGTCCTAAAGGAGATCAAGGTGAGCGGAGGGGGTTGGAACTGGCGTTGGACGACGGTGATGATGAGTTGAAGGACGCCCCTAGAGAGAACCCTGTCGCTTCTTCTTATGCTGCTCCTGCCCCTGCCGCTCCTTCAGAGGACCTCCCAAGCCCTACTCTCGGATCTGGTCGAGACATTTAAGGGCTTGTATCTCCTTTTTTTGTAAATATCGATATGCCTTTTGTAAATATTGACATGAATATTGTAATGAGCTTGTAATAAAGTTTAAGATTTGGAATAAAGATTGATTTTGCTCTCATTCTGGAGTCTGCCTTCAATTATTCCTTGTTTTTGCTTTGTCTGCTTGTAGCTTTGTTCTGATTTTACTGAGGGAACAAGTGTGGATTATTGTGAGTCGGTCGTGTTAGGACAACACGAGTGTTGAGGGGTCAAGACGACTGGCTCATTTTACGCCTCTTGTTGGCAAGATGTCCGGGTCTTTTATCAACGAAGACTGGCAAGTTGAAGAGCCTAAGTCTTTTTGTCAAAGACGATTGAACGGTTGAACTTCATGCCTTGATGACACAAAGGGCTTAGGGTACATGCCTTGGACTTAATGAGGGCGCTAAGGTATTTTGGGCAAAGTGACGATACTAAGGTTGGGTGCCCAGGACTTACGTAGATGCCTGAGTCTTTAGCAAAGTGACAACCCTAACAACCCTGAGGTTGGACGCCAAGGACTTACGTAGACGCATGTGTCTTTGGAAAAGTGACAACCCTGAGGTTGGGTGCACAGGACTTACGTAGACTCTTGGGTCTTTGGTAAAGTGACAACCCTGAGGTTGGATGACCAGGACTTATGATGACGCCTGTGTCTTTAACAAAGTGGCAACCCTGAGGTTGGGTACTCAGGACTTACGTAGACTCCTGGGTCTCTGATAACCCTAAGATTGGGTGCCTAGGACTTACGTAGATGCCTAGGTCTTTGGGCCCTGTGTAGACAATAAAAATTGCCTTTACATAAGAGAACTCAAATCTCGTCTCTTTGAGTTCGCCTGCATTCTCAAAGCAAGAAAAGCTCGCCTACATTCAGAAGGCCAAGAAAAGCTCGCATATTTGTTTGACTTGCCAGTACAAGTCAAGCTCGCCTGAAGGCCAAGCAAAGCTCGCTTGTTTGTTTGACTTGCCAGCACAAGTCAAACTCACCTGCATTCAGGAGGCCAAGCAAAGCTCGCCTGCAAACTTGGCTTGCCAGCCCAAGTTAAGCTCGCCTATGCTCAAGAGGCCAAGCAGAGCTCGCCTGCAAGCTTGACTCGCCAATACTCTTTGCTCGCCTGCACGAGCCAAAGTTCGTCAACATGGCTTGACTCGCAAGCACAAGTCAAGCTCGCATGTTTATTTGACTCGCCAGCACGTGTCAAGCTCGCCTACAAACTTGGCTTGCCAACCCAAGTCAAGCTCGCCTGCACTAAAGAGGCCAAACAGAGCTCGCCTACAAGTTTGACTCGTCAACACTCTTTGCTCGCTTGCACAAGCCAAAGTTCGCCAACATGGCTATGGCTTGACTCGCCCACACGAATCAAGCTCGCCTGGTTGCTTGACTCACCCGCACGAGTCAAGCTCACCTGATTTCTCGACTCGTTCGCACAAGTCGAGCTCGCCTAAAAGCTATGCTCACCTACACAAGTTCAGTCCCGCCCGTTCACTTGACTTGCCAGCATGAGTCAAGCTCGCCTGAATGTTTCGCTCGCCCGTACGAGTCGAAACTCATCTGTAGGGAGTTCGCCTGCATAGACTCATCTTGTCAACAGACTCAAGCTCGCCTAACATTTGAGGGCCCCTCCAGCAGGCCCAACTTGTTTGTTAAGCTCGCCTACAAGCTCGCCTGAGCATTCAAACACCGCTCATGCTCACCTGTAAGCCTACCAACCTCGTCTGAGCAGTGTAAGCGGCTGCTTGCCTGCGGGAGTGAGCCTACCTACGTCCCACATCCTGAGTGATGAATCATGGCTCTTGTAGGATATCTAAAAATTACTACAGATAGCCGATTTCCATCAAACACCAATGATGGAAGTTACAATTTGACGACTTTCAGAATGCTATAATTCAAAGACTTTCACGTAGATCGATGAATGTTACAATCTGATGATCTTTACAACAACTGATAAAAGCTCTAGTTCAAAAGCCTTCATAATCAACATCAGGAGTTATAATCGGACGACTCTCATATTTTTAAGGAGCCAAGATGAAGATTACAAGATGACGGTCTTTGTAACGCTCTAACAAAAGAGATTACAAATTGACGGTCTCTTCAAATCAAAACACATACATCTCTCAAACCATAAGGAATTTGGCGAAATAGAAAGGAGCAAACCTAACTCTGTAGGGTTGGTTTGGTTGGCTCCATCTCCTTGAGATAGTCGATTTTCGTAGATAATTCGTCCAATTCTGACTTATGGTTTGAAAGTTATGACCTGTTCTTCGCAGCAAGTTATGTTTTGAAGTCCGTCTGCAAGACTGGACTTCGCCTGAACATTGGACTTAGCCTGAAGCTCACCAAGCTCACCTGAGACTCACCTCTATGTTCCAGAGTCAAAATGCATTCCAGAGTCAAAATGCAGAGCTCATGCCCACTGTTTGGGTCAGAAATTGTTGTTTTCATTGTCATCGAATCTATTACAACTTTAGTCGTTACAATAAACTCAAATAAATAAAAAATCGATCTTTTTATAAGATCTTCTTACACAATGAAAATATAAAATAAACTCAAATAAATAAAAAATCGATCTTTTTATAAGATCTTCTTACACAATGAAAATATAAGATTACAATTCCTTCAAACAACACGATCTTTTTATAAGATCTTCTTACACAATGAAAATATAAGATTACAATTCCTTCAAACAACACACAACAAATGTTTATCCCCTGTTGTTTGCATGGAATCTTTGCTTGTGTCGGGGACGTTAATATCCATGGATCGCCGCAGATCAGATCCGGTTGACAGATTAAGTTGATCAAAGCTCTTACTTCACGAAAGAAGTAATCGCAGCAACGGTAATCTCGACCAAATGAGATCATGGCTTTTCTCGAGATTTAAGACCAAGCTTAAATCCAGAGGAATATGGGACGAGTCTCAGATCTCTAGAACTCCACTCTTTATGCACATGAATTCGCCAAGATCTGCTAACCCTCGCTATAAATTCGTGGCTCCACTCTCCAATTTGGCAGCGCTTCGCCCTCTTAATCTCCCCATATGAAATGATCCCCCAGGCCTGTATTTATAGGCTTCGGTTGGGGGTTTTTGGATAAGAACGATGGATTCCTCCTTATCTTTATTTAACAATTGTATAACTTCGTTTAGAGATAACATTGAGGTAGTTAAGAACCTCTAGAACAGAAGAAAATCTCATGAAGACCCGTCAAAACGCGTTTCCGGGTCAGATCGACGCGCGGGCCAATGCCTGGTAGCTCGGCCCTGGCCGGGTCCGTTTTGGTACGACTCGGCCGCCAGCGGCTATTCCCGTTTTTCGTTTTTCGATTTTCTTGTCTTGTCACATTGTTTACGTGTATTTTTGTCATTTCGTTGACTTCGGCCGCCAGCGGCTATTCCCGTTTTTCGATTTTCTTGTCTTGTCACATTGTTTACGTGTATTTTTGTCATTTCGTTGACTAGTATGCTTGCTCGATTCGCTTCGTATGTTTCGTGAACGCGCGGATCGCTTGACGGTGGCCGACGAGTGTGCAGGCCACTTGGTTTGCCGTTACGGTTGCCGACGGATATGACCATTGGTTCACCTCAGGTGGAAGTGTTTGATTTGTTTCAGTTTAGGGCCATTGGGAGCGCTATCAGTTGTAGATCCATTGGTGATATTGGTGAAGAGTTGTAAACTTTTTTATTTGATTGAGGACATTTGGAGGTCGTTTGGGTGAACTACGTGAATGCTTGATTCCTTGGGCAAGAGGATACGTAGGCAGTCATTTATGATGTAGCCGGTTTGGTGAGTTGATACCGACATTTGGAGTTTGTTCGCATTCTCGTTTGGGTTCTCGACTTGTTGTGGATTGAGTCCGTTGTCGTGGATTTGTTCTACTTCGTACTGGACGCAACAAGTGAGACGTTTGGTTCGTATTAGCATCGGCTCAGTTTTGGAAAAACTTCGCCGAGGTGGAGAATTGTTGGATAGCAGGTTCCTAATATGTTTCCTAATTTGTTTTGGTAACAGGTTATTGGGATTCCTAATCTATTTTGGTAACATGATTCCAAATTTGTTTTGGTAACAGGTTATTAGGATTGCTAATCTGTTTTGTTTTTTGTTTTAGAATTTCTAGTATGTTTATGATTTTATGATTTCTATATATATGGAATGATTGGAAGAGAAGAAAATTGGAGGATATTTAGAACACAGAAAAATGTATTTTCTGAGCTATTGGTTAGGGTTTTATTTGGAGAGAATTAGAGATTTGTTGGTGAGATTAATTGTGAGCTATTGGTTAGGGTTTTATTTGGAGAGAATTAGAGATTTGTTGGTGAGATTAATTGGTGAGTTTGAGTGATTTGTATTTGGAGAGAATTAGAGATTTGTTGGTGAGATTAATTGGTGAGTTTGAGTGATTTATAATCTCAGTTCGTACTCCTCTTCTCTATTAGTGAAAAACCATATCCCCTTCTTGCCCCATGAACGTAGGCAACTTACCAAACCGCGTTAAAATTAGTTGTTTGTGTTTGTAACATTGATTTGGTTCGTTTGGCCTTCTCTCGACGTTCGTTTGATTTGATTTCTCATAACACGTTGGTTAGGTTGTTTGGCTTCCGCAGCACTCAACAAGTGATATAAGAGCCAACATTGACCTCAGGTGATACCCACACGAGTCATAGTGGACTTCACTTGATACCCACATGACAGACAACAAAGTAATATCTTCATTTGGGCATCGGGAGTGTATTTACTATTAACATGATTGCATAATGTTAAAAGAAGTCATTAGAGTCTCCGTACCACAAGAAAAGAAAAGAAAAGAAAAGCCTGAGATTTGATAAGATAGATATAGCTGTAACGCTAAATATAAGATTGAACAAATACATGTCGGTGACCAAGATCCTTCTACCAATAAAAAGTAGGACAATTGAAGGATTCTTGTATGCAAACCAAAATCATACAACGCTCTTCTACTCCCGATAGATGAACTCACTGTTCCAAAGCTAGCTGCCTATGTCTGTTAAGATCATCGAGGTACCTTGAACATGTGTAATCCTCCAAATCCCCTACATCAAAAGTAGGCCGTCTTCCCACATTTGGTCTTGTAGCTCTACACATGAACTCCATAGATCCTTCTTCACCTCTCAAAAGCCTTACGACCTGAAAATTTGAGGTCTAAATTATTGGAGATGGATGATAATTGAATTACAGAAGATAAGGTCATGAATTTCGTATTATACCCAATTCATTGTAGGCCGAGCAGTAGAGAGATGGTTAATACACATTGAGGCAGCTGATATTGCACGCTTCAATTCGTCGGGATCATAAGAATTGTCCAGAACTGGATCGATGATTTCTTTTAGATTGTTTGTATCAAGTAGAGGCTTTGCCTGTAGAAGAATTACATCGATTTGTGAGAGACATGAAAACTATAAGTTTGTACAATGTTATCACCCATGAGTCTATGGCTAATGACCAATTTCGAATGTTATCACCCATGAGTCTATGGCTAATGACCAATTTCATACCTAATAACAATAGACAGGTTACGGGTTTCATTCGTTGTTTCTTGAATCATAACATGAATCGCTTTATTCAAAAAGCTATGGGTGTGTTTGACAATTCTTTAAAACTGGGTCATGTTTGATCCTGACCCAGTTTTTGTTTTCTGATTGGCTAAAACAGGCCAGAATTGGCCCAGTTTTTTTAAGCCAAATTTTGGCCTCAAAACAGGTTCTTCTTCAACCGCCCCCGCCCCACCCACCCCATCCCGCCACCGCTCCCCTCCAAACAAAAAAAAAGGAACCTTTCTAAACAAGTTTAGCATAACACTGGGCAGGACCAATCCTAGCCCAGTTTTTTCCATTGTTCGCCAAACTGATCCTACGACTGTTGAGATTAAACATAAATTGTATATTAAACTAAATAATTCTCAACACTCCTCGCATGGACCTTTAAGAAAAGTAATAAAGGACTGTATTCGATCTTTGTTTGGAGAATAGATGGGGCTTTAATAATGATGAAATCATTAGTCAACTTCAGTTAAAATTTGATGCTTTCATACCATGTAAAAACCATGTTATCCAAAGCTTTACTATTGGGTTGTAGACTAACAATATAAATATCAAGTAACATAATTCTTGACAGAGTAGTCTTCGAATGATAAATCGGAAGTTATGATCATGAAGGGATAGTAGAAAACTTCGAAGAAGTTTGAGCATACCCATATCACAAGGCTCTGTCTAGTGCAATCAACAGCCCGACGCCCTGTAATTAGCTCAAGAAGCAAGACTCCATATGCGAAGACATCGGTTTTCTCATTAACTACTCCATGCATGAAGTACTCTGGCGCCAAGTATCTGACTCATTTAAACACAAACACATAGCACAGATAATGTACTATCACATATGCTTCAAAAACAATATCACAGATAAATAAAAGATTCCATTCTCACCCAAACGTGCCTTCAATACGAAGCGCAATGTGGTGACTCAATTTATCAGGCAACCATTTTGCCAGCCCGAAGTCTGAAATCTGGAAAATAATGCAAAAGCATGTCAATATGATTAGTAGAGTAAGAAGAATCAACACAGTTTGTAGTATACCTGAGGTTGATAGTCATCGGTGAGAAGGATGTTAGATGCTTTAATATCCCGATGAATAATGCGCCTATGACACATCTCGTGAAGATAGAGAAGCCCTTCTGCGATGCCTAACGCAATCTTGAACCTGACCTTCCATTCCAGCCTCTCCTTTGAACCTAAAGAACTGAATTTAGCTTCATTACTTGGGTAAAGGCATGATTGTCAAGTTTAAAACTTTGAAGAATCTTGTCAGTCGATATTTTCTCCTACACAGATATATAAGCAACGGACTGTGGCTCTATGTCTAGAAGAATCTGTTGAGTGATAGAATCTGTTGAGTGATTGAAGAGAGAGTGTCTGATATGCCTCAACCCTGAAGTCCACTGTATGTAAATAACAAGAAATGAGGCATATTTTGGAGCCTGAAGACTCGCGACTGGTCTTCCTCTATAGTGTTAGATATATTTGAGTTTATTAGCATTAATTTGAGAAATGCGTGTTGTAACGAGCCTAGATCCTAGATTTTCAGTTAGATACCAAATTGTTTAGGTTGTCAACTATTTAGTTCAATTTCCTTCTGTATTTAACTTATTCTTGCCTGGGCTGCTTCTTTTTCCCCTTAGAAAAAGAAAATCACTCAGAAAAACTGTATGATAACTAACATGAAATAGATAGTGTAGCAATTGTTTTTATTTTCTATCACTTGTTTCAGATATATTACCATAACGTTGTAATGATACATAACATACCTCATATTTCTCAAGCAAACCTAGTATATCATAGCTATATTATGTAAAACTATACTACGCAAAACTAACACAAATCATGGGTTTATTTTTGGGTCCAAGGTATGTTTTATTAGTAAAGTGCACAAAAACATAATTCATATTCCTGCAAAATTCACTAATATAAGAATTGAGCAAATACAGGCAATTTGATTTACTAGTGCAGCCTATCAACAGTCTGCTGACTGTATCCATTAACCTCTGGCAAACTAAAACTAGTAAAAGTTTGTTTAAAAAACCTTATATCTGAATGTTATAATAGAATTTCCTTGGTAGATTCATCTTTCCTTTCCACTGAATAGGCATCAGTAGATGACTTGGTTGGCACAATGACAAAAACCATCTGAAACTTCTCAAAGGCCAACACTTGCAAGTCCAAAGGAATTATTTGTCTTACATACGAGAATGGCCTTGGAACCCCTTTCATAAATTATCTTAGCTTTCAGGAGTATGCTATGTGGTAATATAATATAGGTTAAATTCCACAAAAACCATCATGAACTTTAGGGGGTTTAGCTGCACGGGCACCCACCCACCCAACCGCACCCATACCCCACGGTGAACTTTATACATCATGTAAAACCCGACTAAACTCTAAAAAAAATTATACTAAACCCTGTGAACCATTAGAAATTCTCATAAAGAGTGTCAGCAAAAGAGTAAAAAGTCTAAACTATCCTTTATACTTTCTACCTTCCCTTACTCAAGACGGGTAATTTAGAAGATATTTACTAGATTAGAGCAAAATTCTCCGAAACGTGTCATGCACAGAGCATGTGACAACTCAAAGAACCCACCTTCGATCATGGTACTTAAGCGAGATAAGTTCAGTGGGCTTTTCTACAAAATCCCAAGGGGGTTCTGTGAAATTTACTCTACTATCTAATATACAAAAGCATGTAGAAGTAAGATGTACCATGAAGAACAGAAGCAAGGCTTCCATGTGGAGAATACCGAAGAACCAAATACAAGCCTCCTTCAACACTAAACCCTAGCAGTTGTGCAGCATTCGGGTGATTAACATGCGCAATGATTCCGAGCTCTGATAAGAAATCTCCAATCCTCTCATCCTCGGTTTGTTTGTTCATCAGCCTCTTCACTGCCACGAGCTGACCATCACCAAGGCAGCCTTTGTAGACCTCGGCTTGTCCTCCCTTTCCTATCAGCTTATCTGCCAGATATGAAAATGATCATAAATGATTCAAGATATGTTAATTTGCACAAAACTATAAAATAAGGAGTCCAAGAGCCAATTGGATATAATAAACATCAAATATAATACAAAGAACAATTTTTCAAAACAGCCTCATTTAGATTTTTATTTTTCAAAATCGACTGTTTTTTCTTTTATTTATCAAAACCGACCCGATTTTGTGATTAACAGTCGAATTACTATCCTAAATAGTCGGGGTTGCCAACCCCGACTATTTAGGACATTAATTTTTAGGGTTTAAGGCCTTTAATTAGGGTTTAACACTATCCTAAATAGTCGGGGTTGGCAACCCCGACTATTTAGGATAGTAATTAGCCTGCTAATCACAAAATCGGGTCGGTTTTGATAAATAAAAGAAAAATCGGTCGATTTTGAAAAATAAAAAACTAAATGGGCCTGTTTTGAAAAATTGTTCATAATACAAAATTTTCCCAATGTTTGACGATGTTTGAAGTGCATATGGCTAGTCGATACTTCTAATAACTTTTTAATGTATATGGCTAGTCTTCGATGTGTGAAATGTTTTAAAAAGTGGCTTGAGCACACGCCTAGGCCTAAGCTGTACTTTGGCCCTGTCTGGGTCTTGAAGGCATCTAGGGGAGCATGGGATGCTTACGCAGACAGCACCATCTAGGTCACGCTGTGTGTCATATTTGGAATGAACTTATCCTAAGGTGACATGCAATGATCTAGAACATCAAAACGTTAAATCAGGAGATTCTCTCTCTCTCATTTATTTTTTCCCTTTCATTTCTTAATGATTAAACTTAAGGCTCATGCTGGTAAAAGAAAGCTCCAAGCTTTCTATTGAGGAATTGGCAATCATAACAAAACAAAAGATTTTACATATTATAATTGTCAGTTATATGCCTTTCTTCACTATGTCAAATTGTGATATCTTGCTCTTGTTGGATTATTATGATTCTAATCAAATGGGCAGGGATCAAATCACTCAACTAAGTGAAGGAAAAGCATAACAGGAAAAATCTCAACAGAAGTCAACAAGCAGTCCATGAAGAAATGTGTAGTGGTATTGAAGAATAGTCGAATTGACTTTTTTTTTACAATAAAATATAAGCAGTTACGTAGAATGCATAATTCGGAATGTGGCATCCAAAAAGTAAAACCTTAGTCAACCCATCAGAATCAAAGGCAAGAAATGATACCCGAACTGAAATTATTGGTAGCAACTGCAAGCTCCTGATAATCAAAGCTCCTCCACGAAGGCCTACACCGCAAAATGTCTTCCCCAGACTCAAAAATCCCTAACCCAGAACTTGCAGTAACCGGAGGAAATGTCAAAAGCCTCAACATGGGATTCCTCCTCCTCCTCCACAAGAACCCTCCAAACAAATTCCTTAATCTTGAGCTGCTCGATCTTTCCAAGCTCGAGAGCTCGCTGCTGCTTCCGCAATCAGAGTATATACTCGATACTGAGTTCTCTAGAACTCCTCGAGGAGAGCTGTGATCAGAGCTCGAAGTACTGTCATCGTCATTCAGCTCTAATTTGGAGCTCATGCTCCTTTCCTCTGGTACTGAAAGTTCATTGCCATTGAGCTCTTCTTCTGAACTTCTCGAGCTCTTGTCCTCTGTTCCTATGGAAACGGTTTACAGAAGAACACATCAAAATTGTTCTTTTTGCATAATTTCCGTAAGAATCAAAGGGTAGAAAATACTGCTGAACTCCATAATTTTTAAAAAAAATCAAAAAAAAAATCTCTCTCTCTAACTTTCCCGCACTGCTAGTTTGAGAAAGCTATGCCTGTTTCCTGTCTGTCCTTGATTTTAACTTATTTCTGTTGAAGAATATTCCAGGATCGTGAAAATATATAAGAAGTAACAAGTCAATACTTGAATTATTGCCTTATTTAGCATCTGCGTTTTCAACTTTCTCAAGAAAACTTACAGGGGAAAAAAACATTCCTTTATTAGTTATATCTCACAGTCACAGGCTCTTTGCTTCGAAAATTTCTTAGATATTCAATATTTACAGATAGCTAAAAAAAGGGTAAATCATAATTCAAAGAAAAGAGTAAATCTGTCAGTAATACAAAACAATGAACAAACTCAAGAAAATAACACAAAGAAACAATTTTTAAAAAAAAATTGGATTACTTTCAGCAGAACCCGACAGAGCATCTGGCCTCTCCTCCTGTTTACTCCCTGCAGATCCAAAGGGACAAAAAAAAAAAAAAAATCCATCAGCTCCATCGCTAACCAGAACCCAACTCATGGGCCATCTCAAAAACTCAAAAATACAGAAGAAAGAAACACAAACGAATGATTAGAACGAAGCTCACCTTCCGTTATAATCATCTGGACGTAGAATTATTTTCCCATTTAGAGGAGGGAACGTTCTTATTGTGGTTAAAACTTCAAAGCTCAAAGCGAGAGGGCCTTTTCTCGGGGTTTTGAATTCTGGACGGGAGTCGTCGAGATGCGTGCGGGCTTAAATGGAGGAAAAATTAAAATTTTAAAATGTATAAATATTTAAAAGATTGAGATGGACTTGGATGCATTTCCCAATGTGTATGTATGTGGTGGATAGCAGTGGATGTACCCTTTTGCCTTGGTAATTGGTGGGCTGTTATTTTCAACATTTCTTTGTGAGAGAGAAATAGCGGTCATTATTGCTCTGGAGTTTGTACGAAAACCTCTCTTTTCAAACAAAAAAAAAAGAGCAAGCATTTTCTAGATTCTAGCGAAAAAAAATATTTTATTTTTGTAGATAATGTAAGGGGGTGTTTGTTTCAAATCTCAAAATTTATGGATATGGATTTCATCATAGAATTTAAAATCCATAAATTTTTTTGTGGGTTTTGGGATCTCTAAAATTTTGTTTGTTTCATCAATATTTTGGGATTTGGAATACCAAAATTTGTAATATTATGTTTGTTTCATCAATATTTTGGGATTTGGAATACTATAATTTGTAATATTTTGTTTGTTTCATCAATATTTTGGGATTTGGAATAATATAAATTATATATTATAATATAATATAATATTTTAATAACATATATTATATAATGTATATAATATATATATGAGATTAATGGGTATCCTTGTCATAGGAGGGGATTTCCTCCTTGACGCCTCTAAAATCACATGATTGAGCGACATTGTGGATGATCCGCTCCGTTGAACTTGATCTACATATTCTAAAACCCCAACACACCAAGTTTGGGGTGAACCCATCGTCGTTTGACCCTTCATCCACTCGTATCAATTTTAACGGTTTTGAATGAATAGAACTTTTCACATGGCTCAATGGAGGGTCAAACGACGACGGATTCACCCCAAACTTGGTGTGTTGGGGTTTTAGAATATGTAGATCAAGTTCAACGGAGCGGATCATCCACAATGTCGCTCAATCATGTGATTTTAGAGGCGTCAAGGAGGAAATCCCCTCCTATGACAAGGATACCCATTAATATCTCTCTCTCTCTCTCTATATATATATATATATATATATATATATGTTAATGTTATATTTTAATTAAGAGTGGT